AAATGAGAAGCAAAACAGAAGGAAAAAAAAAGATGAAACTGATCGTTTCTCATTGCCCATTTATCTCGAGCAGACAATTAAGACCCCCAGATCAAAAGGGATTATCGTGCCACGCCGACAACCCGGGGGGGGGGGACCCGACCAGGAAAAGCATCTCCCGAACGGTGTTATTCCTAACCTCCTTTTTTTTTTTCATCCATTCTCTCTTTCTTCTTAACTCGCTTCCACGCTAGCTTTGTGGCTTAAGCAGAGCCGAGAGGCTACCATCATTATCCAGCCACAGATGTCAGTCTAACCTTCCTTTCTTTTTTTTTCCTCCGGGTGGTTTTTTTTTTTTTCCTTTTCCTTTTTCTTTTTTTTTTAAAAAGCACAATAATTTGCGACAGATTCTTGTAGATACAAAAGACGTCCAGAATAGAAAACGTTGGTGTGCGCGAGCGGAGACCGATCAGAAGAACAGACTGCACCGCGAAAACACGCCGGATGTCCAAACAAGAAGGGAAGAAGGGAACGGACAGGGAGGGGGGGCTTCAGCGCTAATGAGTGGAGGGGTCTCGGGTTGACTTTATCCCCCCTATTGGACATTTTGCAGAGATTGTGAGAGTGGGGTGCGGGCACTCCAGGTTGCTTCCTTCTTTGCACAAACACATCCTCGCTCCCTCTGTACAGGAAGTCCTCGGCTTACGACAAATTCATGCAGTGACTGTTCAAAGTTTCAACGGCCCTGAAGAAAAGTAACGTATGACCGTTTTTCACACTTACGACCATTGCCCCGTCTCCACGATTACACGGTTGACATTCAAAGGCTCGGCAACCGACTCATATTTATGACCGTCGCAGTGTCCCGGGGCTCACGTGATTCCTTTTTGCAACCTTCTGACAAGCAGTAGGGAAGCCAGATTCACTTAAGGACTAGGTTACTCGTTTATCAACGGCAGTGATTCATTTAACACACCGGGGAAAGAAATGTCGGGAAATGGGGGCAAAGCTCACTTAACAAATGTCTCACTTAGCAACAAATTTTGGGCTCTATTGCAGTTGTAAATCAAGGATGACCTGTATTTAAACGGTTGTCCCAAAAGCTGAACTCTGAGCCATTCCTGCCCCGGTGGGACCCAGCTTTAAACCGAGATAAGCCTCACATCACTTTTGTCTTCTCTTGGGATAGGCCTGAAATTTCATTTGAACCCAAAGGAACAAACCTGAATTAAGTAACCAATTGGGGAAGTTGTAGAACCAAAATCCCACACAGCTTCCATCATTATACCCTGCCAAAAAAAGCCAACACAGTTCTAGGCTGCATCAACAGAGGGATAGAATCAAGATCACGGGACGTGTTAATACCACTTTATAACGCCTTGGTAATAAGGCCACACTTGGAATATTGCATCCAGTTTTGGTCGCCACGAAGTCAAAAAGATGTGGAGACTCTAGAAAGAATGCAGAGAAGAGCCACAAAGAGGATTAGGAGACTGGAGGCTAAAACATATGAAGAACAGTTGCAGGAACTGGGTATTTGTAGTCTTATGAAAAGAAGGACCAGGGGAGTCATGATAGCAGTCTTCCAATATCTCAGGGGCTGCCCCAAAGAAGAGGGAGTCAAGCTATTCTCCAAAGCACCCGAGGGCAGGACAAGAAGCAACGGGTGGAAACTAATCAAGGAGAGAAGCAATTTAGAACTAAGGAGGAACTTCCTGACAGTGAGAACAATTATTCAATGGAACAACTGGCCACCAGAAGTTGTAAATGCTCCAACACTGGAAGTTTTTAAGAAGAGATTGTACAAGCATTTGTCTGAAGTGCTGTAGGGTTTCCTGCCTAAGCAGGGGGTTGGACTAGAAAACCTCCAAGGTCCCTTCCAACTCTGTGATTCTATTCTATTCTATTCTATTCTATTCTATTCTATTCTATTCTATTCTTCTAGTCTATTTGATTCTATTCTATTCTATTCTTCTATTCTTCTACTCTACTCTATTCTATTCTATTCTTCTATTCTATTCTATTCTTCTATTCTATTTGATTCTATTCTATTCTATTCTTCTATTCTATTCTATTCTTCTATTCTATTTGATTCTATTCTATTCTATTCTTCTATTCTTCTATTCTATTCTATTCTTCTATTCTTCTATTCTTCTATTCTATTCAATTCTACTCTACTCTAATTCTATTCTATTCTATTCTATTATTCTATTCTATTCTATTCTATTCTATTCTTCTATTCTTCTACTCTACTCTACTTCTATTCTATTCTATTATTCTACTCTACTTCTATTCTATTCTATTATTCTATTCTATTCTATTCTATTCTACTCTACTCTACTCTACTCTACTTCTATTCTACTCTATTCTATTCTATTATTCTACTCTACTCTACTTCTATTCTATTCTATTCTATTCTATTCTATTATTCTACTCTACTCTACTCTACTCTACTTCTATTCTACTCTATTCTATTCTATTCTATTATTCTACTCTATTCTATTCTATTCTATTCTATTCTATTCTATTCTATTATTCTACTCTACTCTACTCTACTCTACTCTACTTCTATTCTATTCTATTCTATTCTATTCTATTCTATTCTGTTCTGTTCTAATACATTAATATATAACATCTTAATCAAACTGTTGTAAATATTAGCAAATATAATCAGATCAAGCTGAGTTGATTGTTCTTCCATGAAATCAGTAAATTAGCAAAAAAAAAAAAAAATCCTCTTTGGGCATTCCTATATTGTAAAAATGGTGGGATTTTCTCTCTTTTGCTTTCCAGAATGTAATTTCCTGTCCTGAACAGAACTTTGGATTGATGGCTTAACGAATCTTCTCCAGTTTTGGCTTTCACAATGAATGTTGAACTCTAAGGAAATCTCAAAGGTGCTTTTTCAAGAGGCAGCTGGACCAGAAGGGGCTGGACTAGAAGACCTCCAAGGTCCCTTCCAGCTCTATCTTGACAGATTGAAATTATTTTATTTATTTATTATTTATTTGTTGGGACTTGTATGCCGCCCTATCTCCGCAGGACTCAGGGCGGCTCACAACAATTAAAAAACAGAACAGACAAACCATTAAAACAGAAGTCTAGGTTAAAATTAAGAAATTCAATAAAATCCAGATTAAATCCAAGGCGGATTCGGATTAAATCCAAAGTTTTCAGCCCACAGCGAAAAGAGCGAAGGTCGGGGGGGGCCACCCGGAGCTCCAGAGGGAGTTGATTCCAAAGGGTGGGTAATTATGCCTCTCTTTTGAGAGCGTGGTTTTAGAAAAGGGGAACTATTTCACGGAGAAGCCAGGGGTCAGACTAGAAGACCTCCGAGGTCCCTTCTAACTCTATTCCGATTGGTTGAAAATCATGTCTCTTTCTTTCAGGCGTGCCTGTGGGTTTTACTAAAAGGGAAAATGTTTCACGGGGGAGCCAGGTTTATTACCCATCGATCACAGCCAGGACCGACAGCTCCAAGCCGGAGGGATCTTTTGATCTGGCTGCACTTCACAGGAGAGCCTTCTCGGGCCCGACACCCGTGAATGCACTCAGGGACCTATTTATTAGCAATTATTGGACTCTGTGTGTTTTGTGGCTCGGCCCACCCCCAACGCCACGCCAGAAGCAGCCGGAAAGGGGCTGCGAGAAACCTCGCCAAAAAGAAAACCGCCAAGCGGCATGTTGCATTTAAATATATATATATATATATTAATATTCATAGTCGAGAAGTGTGGGCACCAGGCTGAAGCGTCGAGCTTTGCCGAGGAGGAAGCCTCAAGGGTCGTACGCCGGGAACGGCTGCCAGCAGAGATCCCTTCTGCCGGAGAAAAAGATCCCTAAACGAGGTGCAGGAAAGGATCAAGAAGACTTGGCACCCATGGCTTATTTTTTCCCCCTTTCGGTACCCGTGTGCCACAAAACGGAGATTTTCCAACTGGCTAACAATGAACATGAATTTGCCCGAGAGATCAAGTGTTTGCGAGTTGCCATGGTTGGCCTGAAGAAACCTCAGGTTTCCCCCCCCTCAGGTGATGCTCGCTTCCCTAGAGGAACGGAGTGCCAGCCAGCATACAAGCAGTGTGAAAATACAACCATCTCTCTCTCTCCCCCCCCTTTTTCCTCCTGCACTGGCTCTATAATGAGGGAACCGCCGAGGGAAATAGCTTTGAGGTATTGCATCCCGCGGACACGCTGAGTTGGGCGCAGTTGCTTTTCACCTCTCCTGCAGGCACTAATTGTACAATTCCCACGGCATTTTGCACGCTCAGGCGCCCCCTCTTCTCCCCCTCCTCCTTTTTTACGCCGCAGGTTCGGGGAGAGGCAGCGAGGGCCCCCACCACCACCACCCCGAATCCATAAGGCTCAGCGCCACCTGCGACACGCCGCCGAACCACAGCGAGGTGAAATTCACCCACCCGATAAATGACTTACATCGGAAAGGTCTCCCTCAAACCAGGGGTGAAATCCTACCAGGTTCTGGAGAACTGGTAGCGGAAATTTTGAGCAGTTCGGAGAACCGGTAGCGGAAATTTTTAGTAGTTCAGAGAACTGGCAAATACTTCCCTCTGACTGGCCCCAGGTGGGGTGAGAATGGAGATCTTGCAATATCCTTCCCCCAGGAGTGGGATGGGAATGGAGATTTTGCAGTATCCTTCCCCTGCCACGCCCACCAAGTCTCACCACACCCACCAAGCCACACCCACAGAACCAGTAGTAAAAAAATTTTTTGGATTTTTTTCATCACTGCCTCAAACTCTTCAAACTTTCTTTCTCCGGGCTTCCCATCCATCCACGCGTGGAGTGGATGAGCGTCTTGTAAAAAAAAAAAAAAAAAAAATTGGGGGTTTTCTCTTTTTGCTCGAGGTTTTTCCTGGGAGGGGGGAGGGAGGGAGGGAGGAAGAGGTGTGGGGAGGGGGAGAGAACAGCCCTGAGAGGTCAAAAAAAAACCCCCTCCCCTCTCTCTCTCTCCCACCCGCGACGAATTTTGTCGTGTAAAAAATTAATTACGCATGCCCAACCTGATCGCCGTAGTCCTCCGGGAATCGCTTCCGCACCTCAGGACCTGTAAATAATTGACAGATAATATTAATTGGCTTTGAATTGGTGAGCAAGCAGAGAATCAGGCATTAATATTTGATCAGAAGGTGATGGCAGGCCTGGCAGGAGATGCAAAATCAGGGCAGACGGAGGCAGAAGAGGCGGAGAGCAGGAAGATGGGCCTTTGCAAGCTCCCCTTTTTACCCTCCTTCTCCAAGACTAAGAGGGGAGATTAAGGCCAGGGGCGTCACACTTAACGGCGGATGAATGAATGCGACGGGAGGGGGGTGAGGGAGAAACCGAGCTCCGGCACTATGTTTTCTAAGTGAACAGGGCTTCAATTGTGCTTCAGTTTGTTCTGTTGATTTTTTTTTCTTTTCTTTCTTTTTTTTTTTTTTTACTTTATCAGTGGTTTCTTTTGGTGAATGACAGGAGCAGATTTTATAATCAGAAAGTGTGTGTGTGTGGGGGGGAATTTACTGAACAATGGCGGATTTTACAGCTCTTTGGGGGGAAAAAAAGGATGGAAAAGAAATTGGGCTGTGTTAAAAGGCTGGTTTAAAAAGGCCGGATAGAGAACAGAGAGAGAGAGAAAAGAAAAAAGAGAGAAAGAGAAAAAGAGAGAAGAGGGAGAGGGAGAGAACAGGACAAGAGAGAGAATGAGAGAAAAGAAAGAATAAGAGAAAAGAGAGAGAAAGAGAATGAGAAAAGAAGCAAGAAAACGGGAAAGTGAAAAAAGGGAATGAGAATGAAAGAAAAAGAGAGCATGAGAGAAAAGAGAGAAGAAGAAAAAAGAGAGACAGAGGGAATAGGAGAAAAGAAAGAAAAAGAGAGAGAAGAGAGAGAAGGGAACGAGAAAACAGAGACAGAAAGAGAAGAAGAGAAGAAGATGAGAGAAGAGAATGAAAAAAGAGAGAATCAGAAAAAAGAAAGATATGAGAGAAAATAGAGAAGAGAAAGAAAACAGAGACAGAGAGGGAATGAGAAAAAAGAAAGAGAAACAGTATGACAGAAGAGAATGAAAAAAGAGAGAAACAAGAGAAAAGAAAAAGAATATGAGAGAAGAGAGAGAACAAAAAAAGGGAGACACAGAGGAGAATGAGAGAAAAGAAAGAGTATGAGAGAGAGAATAAAAAGAGAGGAGAGAATGAGAGAAAAGAAAGTATGAGAGAGAATAAAAAGGAGAGGAGAGAAAAGAAAGTGAAAGAGTATGAGAGAGAGAATAAAAAAGAGAGGAGAGAATGAGAGAAAAGAAAGTATGAGAGAATAAAAAGGAGAGGAGAGAAAAGAAAGTGAAAGAGTATGAGAGAGAGAATAAAAAAGAGAGGAGAGAACGAGAGAAAAGAAAGAGTATGAGAGAGAGAATAAAAAAGAGAGGAGAGAATGAGAGAAAAGAAAGTATGAGAGAGAATAAAAAGGAGAGGAGAGAAAAGAAAGTGAAAGAGTATGAGAGAGAGAATAAAAAAGAGAGGAGAGAATGAGAGAAAAGAAAGTATGAGAGAGAATAAAAAGGAGAGAGAGAAAAGAAAGTGAAAGAGTATGAGAGAGAGAATAAAAAAGAGAGGAGAGAATGAGAGAAAAGAAAGAGAATACAAGAGGAGAGAGGGAGAGGCGAGAACAAAAAAAGAAATAGAGAGAGAGGGAACGAGAAAAAAGACAGAGAGCAGGCAAAATTCTCATCAACAAAAGAACAAACCAAAAGTTACTTCGAGCCTCTTGAGCCATAAGGAACACGACTTTTCAGCCCGTTTCTCGCCCTCCATTCTTTCATCCCTCTTTCTCGGGGAATAAACCACGTGCCATGTTCGTGCAATGCCACAAGCAGCATTTTTGAGCGGGTTTAATTGTATTAAACAAGAACAGAAGCGGCAAGAAAAAAAGGGGGGGAAAAAAACCCACCCAAACGCAGACAGAAATAATTCTTATGACAAATCATCTCAAAACAACCCTCTCATGACCATCTGTTTTTTCCTGAAGCAAATCCCTCCGATTGCCAGGTTCCGTATTACGAGTGTAATTTTTAATTACAGTAATAATAGATTGGGAGGAGGGGGGGGGGATCTCGCATTTGGTCGGGAAGTTGTCATTTTTGTAAGAAGGCGCTTTGCTGTCAAGAACAACATTTGGGCCTGCCATTGTGAACATCCTGCCGTCCGCTAGGTTTCCTGGACAAGACGCATTGTATAACCAGATGCTGTCACTTTTTGCAAAAAAAAAAAAACCCAATAAAAATAAATAAATTATTGAATTAAAAAAAAATTGTTTCTGCAAGTTTTGATCGTTGTGGAAAGAATCCTGTAAATAATCTTCACTGCTCAATTATTGGTTCTCTGCCCTGAATCAACGCTTGGCGCGGTAATGAATCGTTTTTATGATGCGTATATATCACGTAGGGATGCGGTGGCTCAGTGGCTAAGACGCTGAGCTTGTCGATTGAAAGGTCGGCAGTTTGAATCCCGAGTGCCGTGTAAACAGGGTGAGCGCCCGTGACTTGTCCCAGCTTCTGCCAACCTAGCAGTTCGAAAGCACGTAAAAAATGCAAGTAGAAAAATAAGGACCAACTTTGGTGGGAAGGTAACAGTGTTCTGTGCGCCTTTGGCGTTGAGTCATGCCGGCCACGTGACCACGGAGACGTCTTCGGACAGCGCTGGCTCTTTGGCTTTGAAACGGAGATGAGCACCGCCCCCTGGAGTCGGGAACGACTAGCACGCGTGTGCGAGGGGAACCTTTACCTTTATATATCACATATTTTGTATTAAAAAGGAAATCCCGTCCTCGCTCTCTCGTAGGCAAAGGAAGGTGTGCTATTAAATTGGCTCAGAGGCAGGGCCCAATTTTTGTCAGATGTAGAATTCCCACTCCCGGTGTCAACAGCGAATTCAAAATGTACGATGCGTGCTTAAGAAAAAGCGAAGCCATGGAATCTGCGCTTAAATTTTCCAAGAGGACAGCAGTCCTTTCGCTGTTCATTTGGCCAGGAGAAAGGTCATTGAAAAGGGTTGGGGAGTGGGGGGGAGAGAGAATATGGCAGACCCTTTGAGGAAGAAGCAGAATAACAACGAAAGGAGAGAAATTCCATCAACAAGAACATTTGAGGATGGATGGATGGATGGATGGATGGATGGATGGATGGAT